GCTTCCTTCGCACGAGTGAGTGAGTATATTCCACCCGCACATCAGCCTGGGGATCAGCCAAGCCCCAGCCCCGTCCCCGTCCCCGTCCCCGCTGATCCCACTCCCCGGATGCCATCGTCAATTCAATCTACCCCCTGCTATGGTTCCTGCCCTACCCACCACGAAAAGTGCGGCCCCTGTCTTGTCCCCGTCCACGTCTGCAATCCAGCAACGGGCTAGCATAAACCATCCATACCTATGTTATTTATAGCCCTTATCCATCGCCCGCCGCCACTGGGGCTCTGTCTGGGCTCTGTCTGGGCTCTGTCTGGGCTCTGGGCTCTGGGCTCTGGGCTCTGGGCTGGTGGCGACGGCGATGGCGATGGCGATGGCGATGGCAAGATTAGATTGCGGCCGGGACCGCGGTTGGCTGGGGGGTGGTTGTGGTTCCTTTTTTCCTTTTCCACAGCAGGCCTTTTCTGACGTCTGGTGTTCGATGTCCTCCGCGGTGGTGCGATGGTGCGATAGTACTATGCTACGATGGCGGTTTACTATTTAACTAAACTAATTAACTACTCCGTACTAGTAGTTATCCGCGAGTTATTTTATAGATATATATAATGTACTGTACTCCGTACATATATACAGTAAGATCCCCCCCGCAACACTAGCATCAACAACCACCCCGATTTCCAATTTCGAAACGGTGGCTATATGTTTGTTATATGTGGGCTGTACCAGAGCGACTACTTGCTGCTGGCTACCCTCTCCGCGCGCGCGCGCAGGCGCACGGGGAGAATGATATGAATGATGAATGAGAATGATTCCAAATCCTGTCTGCCGGTGGGAAATGGCCCAGTGGGCGCGCCAAATCTTATCTAAGTGCCAGTCGCTTTTTTTGTTGTTGTTGTTGTCGATGTCGATGTCGATGTCGATGTCTTGCTTTTAAGCAACTCAGGGGCCATCCATCCGGCAACTCAATCTCGTGATTCGTATGCTGTATCTGTATCTATATCTATCTATATCTACATCTGTAAATGCGCTGAGCATAGCGTGAATTGTAGGTATCATGGGATCGATCCTCTTCCACAACACAAAGTGGAGTGGAGTGGAGCTGAGTGGGAGTGGCTCTGAGCCCAGCTCCACGTGGTCAATCCCATCAGCCATCAGCCATCCAGCAATTATTTGTCACTATACTCCGTAGGCTGCCGTACGTTGATTCTTCTTCGGGAGCGTAGAACACGCCACACCTCTTCAGCCATCAGTCAGGGCGTGCTGTACTCGCTAGCCGAGCAAGAGCAAAAAACGCGAGCTCAGAAGGCCACGAAAGCGAAAGCGAAAGCGAAAGAAACGCAGTGGAAATAAACACCGCCATCCCGCCAGCTGTGCGGTTGTACGGAGTAAAGTTGTCCTCCTCCTCCTCCTCCTCCTCCTCCTCCTCCTCCTCCTTACCTCACACCATCCGCCCACACCACATACCGCACAGCAACAAAGAAGCAGAGAAAACAGAACAAACCTCAATCCCCCCCCTTTTTACCTCCAGGGCGCAGGAGACGTGGCTTCTTGGCCGCCCTGCTGCGCCCCCAGCCGATCCACCGCATCCAGGTACAGCAGGTTACGCTGCGTGGCCGACATCACGGTATATCGCCTTGGCTCGTCCGTTTCCATATTTACTTCTCATGGAGGGAGGATAGGGAGGGGAGGAGGAAGAGGAGGCTTGGCTTGGCCTGGCCTGGCTTGGCTCGGCGGGCTGGCGGGCTGGCGGGCTGGCGGCCAGGAGGGCGGACGGTGTATATAACTCACGGGTTGTCTCTCTCTATAATGTATGTACATATTCTGTACGGGATATCGACATTTCATCACCATCGATCAGTTACCAAATCGATAATATGTGGAGAAACAGCAAGACACGACAAGAAAAATACCAATGATCGGCTGCTAGTGCCGACGATCGACATTTCCGGTGCATCGCCGGCCAATTGCGGTATGGTATCGTCATCATCGGGATTCACCACCACCAGCATCATACAGCAGGGAAAGGAGAGAGGCGTAGACGGTATGCTTGCATTCCGAATCACAATCACAGAACTGACGACGCGGCCCTGGCGCAGACAGCCTGCGCCGACAGCCAGCGCAGAGGCAGACGGTCGCAGAGAGTTGCGACACATCTGCGATCCAACAGCGGCCAGGGGCAGGTCGCCGGCTTGTGCGGCAGCGGATCATGGAATGGCTTCCTCCGCGCGTGCGACGGTGTATCGCTTGGCGGAGTGCTTGGCGAGGGGAATATAGCCGTATAGCCGTATAGCCGTATAGCCGTATAGCCTGTATTTGGAATCACCATACGGGTACATACCGTACTGTCAGTACCTCCTATATAGGTCCCTGTTTTTGTCACTCCGAAGAAAGCCCTAGTTACAGCTGCCACCAACGGTAGTGTATATATATATATATATATATATATATATTATATACTACTAGTGGGTATGCGTATGATCTATCCCTCCAACGAAATGCAAACGGACAAAATGAATGCGCCAGCGACAGTAAGAGGGAAATGTAAGTACTGTACTTGTACATCCCTACATTCGATCCCGTATCCCTGGAAGTAACTAATCAAGTCTCCTCCTGTTGCCAGGCTTGGCGTGGGCGGCTCGTATCCTGGCGATTTGCTTCGATGGCGAGCCAACCAGGAAGATACAATATATATACATGTAATACCTATGTCTACATCACCATCATGAGCCATGGATGTTGACGCCGTGCTGCGTGCTCTGAAGGCCGTCTTCCTCTCCGCCGTCACCTGTCTTCTCCTGCCCATCTACCCCTGCTTCATCGTCAAGTTCGCGGCCGAGAAGGCTGCCGACGAGCGCAGGGCGGAGGGGCTCATGCAGCCCATCGTTGGCCTGACGCTGGCAGAGACCGAGGGCACAGACCGAACAGGGGGAAGAGGAGGAGGAGGAGGAGGCAGAAGAAGAAGAAGAAGAAAACGAAGAAGGCTTTCCATCACCCCCTCCATTCTCGAGGAAGGCCACTCCGGCCATTGCGAAGAGGAGCAGCCGTCCCTCAAGCAGCCACACCAAGGACAGGTTCCTGTCGCCCAGGCTGCCGGTTCCCAGATATCTTCGAGCCCCGTCGTTCTCCCTATCGCTTCCATTCCCACTGCCGTTCGCCACCAAATCCAAATCTCCATCTCCATCTCCATCTACATCCACGTCCACCAACACGCTCCTCCTCAAAAACCAGCACCAGTCCCCTTTCTTCACGCGGCTGCCGCTCGAGATCCGCCTGGCCATATACCACCACGCCCTCGCCTGCCACCGCGTCCACCTCGTCCGAGTGTCCGGCAAAGTGGCCAGTTGCGCGTGTCCCGAGGGCGTCGAGCCGGGGTTCTCCTGCTTCGTGGGCGGGAGGGCCGACTATGCGTGTCTGGCTGCCAGTTTCCGTCGGCCGGTGGTGGCCTATGGCCCGGGGTCGTCGTCGGTGGCTGTCCCGTATGAGCTGGAGGCGGCGCCCGTGGTGTTCGCGGACGGCGCGACGAGGGGCATCGTGGGCGCTCTGGATTTGTTGAGTGTTTGTCGGCGAGTGTATGTATAGTGTCTTTGTTTTTCTTCTTGGCATATACTATCCCACTGGGAGAGCCTTTCTACCCGGATCCAATGCAGAATGCAGTAACTGACACCCAGGAAACAAAAACACAACACAACACAACAAAACAGCTACACCGAGGCAATCACCGTGCTATACAGGCACCTCACGTTCCAGATGGACCTCATCACCCTGCTCGCCCTCTCCATCTCCATCCCAAACCACCACCTGCGGGCGATCACGAAGCTCGAGATCAGCCGGCCCCCGCTCAACTACATAGACTCCTGCTACCACCTCCAATACCTGCCCTCCTTCCGCCGCATCCGCCGGCCGTCCTCCACCAACTCTTCCTCTTCCTCCTCTTCCTCGGTCCTCTTCCCCTTCCCCCTCCCATTCTCCCTCCCATTCCCCCTCCCTCGCAACCCCGCAACCCACCCTCTACAAAATCAACCGCAAACTCACCTCCTTCACCCGCTACCGCGCCGGGGACATCCCGATCTACACGCCCCGCGCCCCCACAGCCTGGGACGAGGCCTGCACGCGCCTCCTCCCGCGCCTGCCGGCCCTGCGCGAGCTGCGCGTCTCGCTCAAGCGGCCACGGACCACCCCGCGCCTCGGCCCGCGCCTCGGCCCGCGCTGCGACGGCTGCGACGGCTGCGGACAGGTGCTGCGCCTGCGCGTCTTTGAGGTGCGGGTCGATTGGGCGGAGGGGTTGGAGGGGCATGGCTGGGCGGAGAAGGGGGCGTGGCCGGTGCGCGGGCGGCGGTTGTCGTCGTCGTCGTCGTCGTCGTCGTCGTCGTCGCCGGGTGAGGAGGAGGCAGAGGCAGAGGTGGAGATGGTGGATATGTGGAGGCCTAGCGCGTTTCTGTTGGAGAGGGGGAGCCGGGCGGAGCTGCTGGCGAGGGGCGGGTGGGAGCCGTGGACGGACTAGCGGTGGGAGTCGTATTTGGCGGAGACAAAGGCGGGGGCGGGGGAGGGCGAGGACAGAGTAGGTGCAGGTGCAGATGGACCAGGGAGACTATGGCAGAATGCGCCGTTTTACGGTGATCCGGTCGTGGGATGAGGGCGATGCGGGGGGATTAGGTGGGATAGAAGCGGTGGGATGAAATGGGAGGGGATGGTTATGGTTATCTCATCCCCTTGATACACACGTACAACACGTCCCCCTTCCAACGAAGCCGGCACCTGATGTTGTAGCCTGTGGAAGTACCCCGCGCTGCCTACAGCTTACATACATATCTACATATCTATATCTACTCTTCAGCCTGTAATTCTGTAATGCCGCATGTATCGACGACATGCCGAATACGTAAATAACTAGCGGCGTCCTGTCCTGTTCCTGTCACGGGGGAGAAAAACAAAACAAACCAAAACAAATGCCGCACCGGATGCGGTTAGCGGCCCAGGCACGCTCGGGAACAACGATCCACGGAGAAAGAAGAAAGAAGAAGAAAGAAGAGAACGAGATGAGAATGAGACAATACAAGTACAATACAAGTACAAGTATAAGACGAGACAGAGACAGAGACAGAGACAAGTCCTCCACCCCTAATCCCATCTCCCCCGCGGCGGCGGCGGGGGCAACACAACGTCCAAACAATGGCTGGCTTATTATTCTGCTTCACCCATCTTTCACAATCTTGGACACATCACGGCTAGTCATTGGTGGTTATTAGTGGTTACTGGTTACTGAGGGGAGGAGATAAGTGTAAGTGTGTGTGTGTCCACAGGGTATGTATTTATTCTACTACATTTTGTTCTGTTGTGTTTCTTTTCTTTTCTACGCCGTGTTATTTATTATCTGGTATTGGGAAACAAGAAACAAGAACAAAGGCAGGGTGCGTGTGCATTGGGGGCCGGTTGTGCGTGGCGGTTCGGCTGTGCGGCAGCAGCGGCAGATGATAGGGTAGCTATGTAAGTATGTATGTATGTGGGATGTACGGAGTACGACGTACGGAGTACGGACTACTCCGTTCGTAATGTAACCCACAACGCCCACTAAGAAAACCATCGCAACCGGGTAATTTTGCGCAGAAAAATGGTAAGGGGGGATAGTACGGATACTGGGATAGGATATTTGATATGGCGTCATGTCGCAGGACGGACACGGGGCTGGCTGTGGGGGAACTCTGCATCACAGCTTGATCACAGCTTGATAGCAGCTTGATAGCAGCTTGATAGCAGCTTCACCAGGTTCATATTGTCACGGCGAACAAACCCCCCACTTGTTCGTCAAGAGGATCGCAAGCGCGGCGCATCTTGGGCATCTTGGGCCAAGCCAGACATCCATTGTTACACGATCCTAGGATGGGGCTGGCTGGTTTGTAACCGGTTAGTTTTAGTTTAGTTGGACTGAGCTATTATGACCTGCAGGAGGAAGGTAAAAGGAACAAAAAAAAAAAAAAAAAAAAAAAGGATACAGCACCCCGCGGAGCTTTGGTTAGGTAGGTAAGAAGTAGGAAGTAGGAAGTAAGTAGTTACTCCGTACTCCGTAGTGAGAAGTAAGTAAGTAGCAGCTACAGCTTCGGGCTTCTGACACGGCCGTTGCGTGGGACGGGACTGTGGCTTGCTTTTGGCGGCTCCCGACGACGGATTGATTGCTCTCTCCACTCAGGCTGTCAAGGCGATGTGATGCTGATGCTGATGCTGGTGCTGGTGTGAGGTTCAACAGTGGTTTTCTTTGTCTGAAACGGGGCTAATCGTCCATTTTCCATTTTACT